GAGGGGGGGTGCCCTCCGGCAGTGTCCGTGCGAGCAGCTCTTCCATCCTGTTGGTTTGGCTCTCGGTCAGCTCGGACAGCCCTGCACACTGCCCTCCGTCGTCCCCGATGGCCCCGATCAGCCTTCCCCGGGAATCCCTCTCCTCCACTCTTAGGTAGTAGGTATCCCGAGCATGATCGATCACCATCCCGAAGAGCTTCATGAAGTCTCTTCCTAGGATACACGCGAGTAGTTATAAGCCACTTCTGGCCGTCACAACAAACCCCCACCACTGTCCCCGATGAGTCATAGAGCGCATCGCGCTGTGTCCCTCCGTACCGCACTATGGCGTCACCCCCTGTCCAGCGCTACCTCCGGCTCCTCCTCGGACACCCGCCGGCTAGCCTCCTGGCGGTGATTTCCTCGGCTCCGAGGTGCCGCCGTAGGCCGTTCTTCGGAGTGGGACCGTTCGGAGATCGGCGGGTAGAACATCGTCTCCCGCCGCGTCTGTCTCCCTTCCGACGGATTTACCTCTCGCCGTCTCTCCGGCGAGGGGAATCGAATGTGGTCGCCGTTCCGCGTGCCTCTAGGCCCGGCGACTCGCATTGCTGTCCGTCTCGGTCTCCCTCCTTCTTCTCTTCCCTCCCCCTCGTCGCTCTCCGGTGCCTCATCCTGAGGGGAATCCGGTGGCGACGGAAGCATGCTGCTTGAAGGCCCCCGGAGAGGCCGATCTGAATACGGCGCCCTCCATAGATGAGCCTCCACCCTTCCGCTATTCCACCGTGTGATCGCTGGCTCGCTGGCGGTCAGGAGAGTCTCTTCTACTAGGCCCCTCTCCTCTCCTGCTTCGCGCCCGAATGAGGGGAACCGTCCCCCCTCTCGTGCGGCATGTCTCCCGGTCCTGCGCGGAGCTGCCCTCCCGGGCTCCAAGCGCGTCCGCCGGAGCGTTTCCGCCAGCTCCCATAGCTGATCGTCGAGGGGTTCTCCCACCATCGCTCTGGCAGGGCCCCCCTCCGCCCGCGACCCCGCCGTCGTCTCGGCGGCCGCTTCTTCGGCGTGCTCGTTCCCCTCTTGCTGGCCTGCCCTCCCGCCATCACCGGGCGGCAGGTCTTCCTCCCCCCACTCTTCATGATTCCCGAATCGCTGACGCAGGGCATGCCTCACTAGTCGTAGGCGCTGCACCCCTTCGGTCCCTTCCGGATTCAACCCTAGGCCCTCCAATAGGGCCTGCAAGTCTTCCTCCGCTAGGCCAACCGCCCATGTCAGGACCGCCGTCTCGTTGGCGAATTCGGGCAACATGTATCGTTTTATACTAGGAGGGTACTCGCAATCTGAGGTCCTCCGCTTCGGCTGGCGACCCTTTCGCTCTTCCGTCCTCACTCCTCCTTTCGTCTCCCTTTTCCCTTTTCCACAAAACCAAATCGAGTCCAAGTCCCAAGCCGCGTCGTTCACCAGAAGTCCACAATACTAGCCGAGTCGTCCACAGAAAAGAAACAATATCCACTGAAATCGTCCGCACTGTTACATGACGTGTTACACGGTCGATTACCGGAAAGAGTTTCAATTCGGCAAATCCGAAGATTGCCGATCTTGATTGTTGTCGGTTTGCCGAATTTAGCCGAAGGAATTCCCGCCTCACGGGAATTCCTGGCCCCCCTCCTCTTCCCTCGTCCAGCGGGTGGATCAAAACAAAAACACCCCCCTCC